TCATTTCTACCAGATTCAAGTCTAAAAACATTCAAAAAATTATATAAAAGATTTAATATATTATAAAAGAGTTTAAAAAAAAACCTGAAAAAAAACTATACTAAAAAAAATGGTTGTCCAGAAAAATGCAGAGAATGTCCAGTGGAAAATTGCAATATTCTGGATGTTGAGACATGATTGTGTTTTTCCAGAAAATGACTAGGAGGATTAAAGCCCAGTGTCCAGAAAGTATTTTCCAGACATTTTCGATGACAACAATTTCTGATATTTTTTTATAGGGAAGAGTAAACGTATTAGAACCAAAAATAAGATGACGTTATTATTTTAGCTAAAGAAAAATGTCAACATCATTTTCTAATTTAATAATAGTACATGTATAAAATAATATTTACAATAAATAATAAAATTTTGATATAATTATATTTAAAACATATCAATATTAAAATTATATATAATTTTTGATTACTTTTGCAAAAATATTGAATTAAAAGTTTGAAACATTCATTTGCGAGATCTTGAAATTAATATTATGATAATCATCTATTGATTTTTCATATATATTTAAGAATATAATAGAATGGCGTCCTGATGAAATTTTTAATTTGTTGACATGAATCTACGAATTTTGAATTTCTTCACCATTGTGGTAAGTTGAGAATTAGCAACTTACTTCTATGATTGTCATTGTACTGTATCTTACTAGGGGTTTTAAAATATTTTTTTAAAAAACTTTTATTTATTTTTATTTGTGTTCCTTTTACTTTCGTTGTAAACGGTCGAATATCAAGCATGAAAAGATGATAAAATTCAACCACCAAATGTAATTGCCAAATATTAAGAACGAACAAATTAATTATGAATTGACGTAGATGGATAAATAATTAGCCGAAAAGGATAAACATTTAGGAAGAGTAATGATCTACATGATGTAATATTTATCAAATGATTGACAAAGAACCAATAGGATAAATAGAGTCGATCAATTGGGGCTTAGCAATCTTTAACAATAAGAACGATAAGAAAGAATAATTATAAGCCACAAAAGATAGATTATAAGCAAAACACATAAAGCGGATTGAAAGAACATATAAAATAATGTCAGAAAGATTAAAGAACATAAAATAATATAAAAGATAATATAAAAAGATAGTATAAAGATGGAACGTAAAAGATAATATATTAAAAAGAACATATATAAAAAGATAGCATATTAAAAGATAGCATATTAAAAGATAGCGTATTTAAAATATAGATAGTATATTAGAAAGATAGTTCAAAGATAATATGTAAAAAGAACATAAAAGATAGTATATAGATAGAATAGAAAGTAGCATAAAAATTGTATATATAGAGAGCGGAATTCAAGGTAATTCCTTAGTTCTCATCCACAGAACTCAATAAAAATATAAGTTTCATTTAATTATTTGTTAGTGAAGTTTAATATTAATTAAAGGTAATAGGTTCGCCCTAAACTTTAATTAATGTTTGCTTAATTAATTTTAATTGAATAAATGGAAATTTTAAGATGAATTAAATATACACTTTTGGAAAGTAATAATTCGTAGCGAGAGCTATCGAAGTTTGAAATTAAAGGTAAAAGTGGATATAATTTGGGAAAATTTAGAGAAGTTAAATTTTATTTTATATCATTCGACGTTTTATATTACTAACGCTATTTATGTCGTGAACCAAGAATGTTGTATGTTGTTCGTTGATTATGTTGTTTGTTAATTATGTCATTGATTATTAGCTTGTTCGTTTAATTGTTCGTTCGTTCGTTTATTCGTTCGTTCGACCATGGGAATGCCCGTTCGATGTGGCAACTCTGTAAATTGATGACAGAGAGAATTGGGGGATCTCATCGTCTTTGTTGTTTATTTTTTTATAGTACAGTGGAGGAGCAGTTCTGGAGAAGTGTTGGCTTACGCATCCGAAACAATATTAAGACTAGCCAGTACTTCTTTTTTATATTTCTTCCATGATGTTATCCTTGAAATTTGAATTGAATATCTACATTCAGCATATAATGAGTTGACAAATCATTTTAATACTCGATGTAGCTATGAAATGATAAGAATAGCGTGACTTGTCGAATATTTTTATTTTAGTTATATTTTACTCATCTCTGCAGACGTAAACTTTTGTCTTCCAAATACTGGATTTATAAAAGTAATCTTCTTGACAGAATTTCAACTCCAGATATAACATTTGATTTTGTTAATTGAAAAAATTTTTATTATCTCATCTAACTGATTCTCAATGGAAATACCTTTTTTGACATATCATGTGGGTTATTATGATTCTGATCCAATAATTCAAAATTCTCAAGCCAAGTAAATAATTAATAACGATAATATTCAAATTATCTAAAGGAATCATCACTACATATTTCTTACAAAAAATTTAGTCACGAGGAATTTGTCTGTCCAAGCCAGTCACATCTCCTGATCACGTGTAATCAATTGCAATATTTGAGCATAAAAGCATAAATAGATAATTACATCTGAAGATAAAAGAAACTTTTGAAAAGGGTCAAATTTTATACTAAGTTTCATAATGAAGTAATATATTTATCTTTTTAATAAAGAAGAAACCAAAATAATTTATAAATAAAGTGATTACGCAATCATTGAAAAAGAAATTAAAAAGGGATTAAAATAAACCGAGTAAATTGGTTTATCAAATCACATATAGAATGATTTCTAAAGCTATGATAGATACATTTGTACCGACGTTAATAGAATAGTTTTATCGCATTTTTTCAATATAAATTTTATATTGTTTTTAGTATGTGACGACATTTATTTATATAACAAAATTTTATCCAGATAATATGACCGTAACTCAAGGATTTCGAATAATTATTGTTAATACAAAATTTATAAATGTTTGCATACTATCAACATTTTATTTCTTTACTTGCTGTTTTACAAAATCTTTTCATAATTATCTCGATTATCCGAAAAATTTACATATAATTAAATTAATTATAGCTAAAAAAATATATACGTATATTTATGTATATTAATTACTTACTAGTATCTCTTAATCCTAAATGCAATTTTTGAAATATTTTAATACTTTAGATAATGTCATCTTTAACAATACTATTTATTTTTAATATACTATCATTATCGTTATTCTAGATTTGATTTATTGAAATCATCAACTAGAAAGAGAATTTGATTTAAATATCAAATATGTTCAGGTAAATTATCAAATTGATATAGTTTACTTGTAGATAATCTGCTTGTATAATAAATACTTGTACAAATATTTTTATTAATCTTTTTTTTTTAGACAAAACATATAAAAATTTTAAATTATGCATAATTGAATATGTCAAAAGGGTAACTGGCCAATTCATTAATCTTTTTGTGGCCTAGCACTTATTTAATCCATAATTAATTTATTTGTAGATTTCAGAAGTTGTAATTTATTTATTTTAACGAAACGTTTACTAACATTTCGTTAACTTTTTTTTTTTTTTAGACGGCCGTATTTCTTGGCAACAACGCATGGGAAGTTCACATTGGTAATTTTTTTTTAAAAAAAAAATTATTTTAACAAAGCATTTACTAACATTTCATTATTTTTCTTTTTTTAAATGGTCGATTCTTCAGACCTCAAGATGAATATCGGTATTTTTTTCAAGGTAGATATCAGGCTTGTATTTAAATAAATAAATATATATATATTTTTAACAAAACGATCATTGACATTTTTTATTTTTCTTTTAGGTATTGAAGGATCCAATTAGAAAATTTCGTTGTAAAACTTAATGTTAACCGTTTACTTTTGGAATTAGATTAGTATATAGATTTAGTATAGGTTGATTAATATGTTTTATTAATTTATTAATGTAATAAAATTATGCTATATTATTTAACAAATTTTATTTAACGCTACTGGTGATTATTGTCTATTTAACTATATTGATATTACTTGACATGATTTTTATCAATATATCATTCAGGTTAAATTCAAATAATTTATCACTAGTACTTATCCATATTGATATTACTCAATATCGATGTATGTTATGCGACCTTTTCATTAACACATGTCCTCTAGAAAAATTTCCTGATGATATAAATTAGTAAACAACCAAGAAAAAATTTCTTACGATTATGATTATCAGATATTTTCACCAAATCACAGGTTTGAAATATCAATATATATACCGTATAGGACTCAGAAGTATATATAAAAGGGTCAGGTTTGAGTTCGCGTATTTTGAACAAAAAAAAAATCATGAAAATCTTTCCTTTTTAGATAATTTTTGATAATTCCAGTCGGAATTTTATTTCCTATTATAATATCCGACTAGCATTATCATAATTCTGGCACTGAAAATATGCGTACAGCTCATACATGTAGTAAAAAAATTTTTTTCATCACCTGATCCATATATGTATATTTCTGGGTCTTTACCATATTCTAAAAATTGACCGGAATTATATGATCATACAAAAATTTCCAAATTATATTTCAGTTTAACTTAATTGTTGAGTTAATGATGACATGATGTGTAAAATTTGTTATTTTGGGCATAGAAGCAATCTTATAAGATGTGGAAGCCAATTCAAAGTTTTAATGAATTAGGGTTTTTATTGACCAAATAGAAAAATATTTATTGTTTAGTCAGGGGTAAAGACGATCATCTTTTCATATTCATCCAATAAACGATATTCCAAGAAAAAATAAATACATTTTTATGGCGCAGTCTAAAGTATTATATTTTTATTAAATTAATGAAAAGGTATTGTTGCTAAAGCTTACCGGCGGTGATGGTCACGACCATCACCGCCGGTGAGCTTTAGCAATTTTCAAATTAAAATGTCTAATAAATAATATCATAATTTACAATCTATTTACTATATATTTTTTCTGTTAAATTTACTTTCTAAGATATAAATCAAAATCAGTAGTAGAATGCTCAACATTCGACCTTATTGATCTTATAGAAGCAATAGACAAATGTTCAATGTAAAATTAATTTAAGATATATCTTCTAATAATGTCTTGTAATATAAAAATGATCTAAATATTACAGAGTTTCTTGCTTTGGGATTTTTTCAACGTGCCAAAAAATACAATAATATTAATATTATTTGATTTACTATAAATATTATGATTAATGGCAAAAATTTTCCAAAATAATCCTCTATAAAATAATAGAATTAAAAATTTAATGAAATATTAATTATTTACAAATATCAAAATATTTAATTAACAACACACTTACGAGTTATTGTAAAAGATGCACTTTCATCAATTAATGAAGTATATTCATTATTTGAAAGTGCAGTAAACCCTTTTTTTTCAATCAAAGTGTTTAAATTATCAAACATTGTTTTGGAACTTGGTTCAATGGCATTTTTAGCTTCATTTATAGTAAATGATAACAATTTTTTGGGGTAAAAAGGATCATTTTGCCATTTACCATTTGTTGATAATCTTTGTTCATTTACTGGAATTACTTTAGAAAATTCTTGAATCATATTCTTAAATAATTCTGACTGATTTGTTTGAAGAAATTTTTTATAAAAAATTTTATGGGTAAAATTTTGATAAATGATCATATGAGAGTAAAGAAATATAAATTTTTTGTGAAAAATTTTAAAAAATTAAGCAAATATATGTGTAAAAGAAAAAAAAATTTTTTTTTCAAAATTTCGTCTCCTTTATAAAATTTTTCAACCCTCTTTTTTTTTACTTTATTTGGTTTAAAATATAAATTATATGAAACTCTAATATGCATTTGTAACCCATTTTCTAAATTATTAGCAAGTATTGTTCATTTTACTAATTTATAGTAATCATTTGTTTTAAAAGTAGGGTACAATAATAATAATAATAATTTATATTATACCATTATTGATAAGCATTAAATCATTGTGAAACAATAAATTTCACCTACTGCGTCTAATAGACATTGTTTCACTTATGCAGTTCATTACGGATGAAGCCAATTAAAAATTTTTTATTAAAAGTATATGGTTGGAAATTCCAATGCATGTTAGCGTTCTAGAATTAGCAATCGGCTTCTTTTTTTAGAAATATTAACCTAACAAACTAGGACGAATTTATTTCAAAAAGAATTACTTTTTCGCTCTTAAAGTTTACAATTTTTAGAAAAGGATCATCATAAATAAATATTGAAATTTTAATATTGTTCTCTGTGTTATATAAATATGATGCCTAATTTGATATATTTATTGGATGTCATTTTAGTAACATCTTTTTTAGACTATTCGGGTGTTAAAATAAGAAAAAAGCCAATTATTTTATTATCATTATTTTTTTTAAAAAAAATAGCTATTGTGTATTAATTATATTTATTTACTTTATAATACTGTTAGCGAAGATCAACCAGAAATTACCGGAGAAAATATTTCCAATGATCCAAAAAAAAACTGATTATAAGAAACAGATGATGATGAACAATTTATTGATAAAGTAAGTGTCTAAAATTTCTATTAACTTAAATAGTTAATAATATAACATATATATTTAATTTAAAATTTGTTCTTTAAGGTACAGTACAAGATGCGGCAGATGATCTCATCGAAAAATTTACTATGAACAGTTATTTTAAAATGTTACACTCGCGAGCTAGATGCGTAAAATTATATTTAATAATCATAATTTTTTTTCAATATTTTTAATAAAAATTCTTTAAAATTACAACGTTTCCGATATATTTGTGATAGTATTTGATTTAAGTGACAAAATAATAGAACTTTTTTTGAGCTTTTTTTATTTTTTATCATTTTTTATTGGCCGTTCGAGAAATGTGTATTGGGTTAACTTAAACGGGCAAAATCTGGACTATTTTTCACACTCATATGGGCTGATTCTTGGAATCTAATTTTTTTACACAAAAATAATTTTATTAAAGCAAATATAAATTATCATTTATATAAGAATAATAAATTTATACTAGATAATGCAAAAAAAACTAATTAATTATATAATTTTTAATTTTTTTTTAATATAAGATATCATTAAAATTTAAAAGATCAAATATAACTCTCATGACAAAATCATTGATAATTCTTCGTAGAAATAAGCTATACAAATAAATTTACATTCATTTGAAAGAGAAAATCGAGATCTATCTAATGAATCTAAAATCAAGTGAATTGAATCACTAGTTGTTCAGTAATCACGTTCAGTATATTTATTGAATTTTATCTAAATTTGATCATTAATTACTTCACATGTAGTGATTCCTGTCTCTTATACACATCTAGATGTGTATAAGAGACAGGTTTAGAAATCATCAATTATATTATTAATATAAAATTTTATAAGTTTGATAAAATCTGATATAAAAAAAATTATTAAATACCTGTAGATGCAAGCTACACGAATGAAATTATATTCATTTGAAAGAGAAAATTGAGGTCTATCTAATAAGCCTAAAATCGAATGAATTGAATCACTGGATTGTGAATAATTACGTCTAATATATTTATTTTTAATTTTTAAATTTGATTTGACTTTGATCGTTAATTACGCCTCATCCAGTGATCCAATTTTCCTGATCTTTGATTTTTACGATAGAGCAAATTCTCAGCTTTCAAATGAATGTAAAATGATGACGTTAGCATATCTCCAGGAATAATAATGCACGATTTTGTCACCTGCATAAAGTCCGATCTGAAAATTTTATTTCTTACCAAAAAATGCTTTCATAAGAGAATCCCAAATTCTTTTACTTTATTTAAAAGATTTTATTTGCCATTTAAGGATTTTAGTAGAATAAATCTAATAAAATAATTTTAAAAGATAAAAAACAAATATATAATTAGTTATTTTGAAAAAAAAAAAAAAAAAATCTTTTTTTTCATTTTACAACTATTTTACATCATAATTATTTTTTATTTGCATGTATTTTTTACAAAGAAAAAACAATAAATTAAAGCTAAAAATTATGAAAAAATATGTCTTATCTATGTATATAAAATATTAAGTTTTTTCTTTTACTTACCACTTAAAAATAACTGCTATATTTGCTTATAAACTTTTTTGCCATATTTAATAAAAGTGAATAGAAAAAGGATGGAAAAGTGATGGGCAGTGATGGGGAAAAAGAAGTGGTTATTACCGTTATTTTTGAATATTGATTAAAAAAATTTTTTTTATTTTTTATTAAATCTGAGTTACGTAAATATGTAACACATTTAATTTAGATTTGTGTAATGTTAATCTTATTAAAATATTAAATTTTTATAAAAATCTTAATTTAGACTAATTCCAAAAATCGGCACATATGTTTCACATCCAGGTGGTATAAAAATTTTCAGAAAAATGATCACGTGTCTGAGTTTCTTCGGAATAAAACTAGAAAAATTTATTTTTAGAACAGTTCTTTAACATTACATAGCGTGTACCTAATTGTTGCAAAGTTATTTATCGCTGGGTGGTTATGGTGCATTGATGTTGATATCCATCAGCACACATTTCAGACGACATGCTCGTTATTGATAATCGCATAAAAAAATTCCATACCGTACCACTTACTGTACCATACTCGTAACTTGTATACAGCTGATAAAATTAGTAGCGTACCGTACCATGCTGGCTCTATAACAATTATTGTTATTATTATTAACGTTCTTTTTTTTATTTTTTATTATTTTGCGTGTAATTTTTTTTATATAGTCTAATAGGGAAGAGAATAACGAATAAGACGAGAGTTAGAGCAAACAAACCTTAATTTTGTCAATAATATTGTCCTTACTTATAAATTTTATATGATCAATATCAGATATCAAATGTACTTTTATAATTATTATTAATCTGATTGTATTGATTTACACTAGCGAATAAATTTAATCAATATATTATACGCAACATCGGGCATCTTGACGCTGACGATGTCAGTAATTCAATGGTACTGAACTTAAAAAAATATACAGTATACAAATATCAAACCGCATCCGTCGTAACCGACAAGAAATAGTGAAAGTTTAAAATTTTTTTATAAAGCAACTGTTTAGTAATTGACTTAAAAAAAGGTGATCTTAAGAAGAAACTGCACGTTATGCGGTGTAATCTACGTCTGGTTAAGAAATTGTATATTTGGCATTTATAATAAGTCTATGATTTCAAAATTTCTTACGTCGAGTACAATTAGTGGGTTGTTCGATCGTTTTAATAGTATATGATGCCTAGCCTATATGGCGTTATTGAAATGTTGGATCATATTGTTATTACAAAATCATTTTCATTTCTATACAATTCATATACTTGATATGAAAAGGATTTTAAAAGGTTTTCATCATATGATGTATGGAAAATTGGCGATTGTTTGATGTAAATAAATTTCTTTTATTCTTTGATATGTATAAATGAAAATTTGGATAATTAAAAAAATTCTAAGGTTGTTTTGTGCAACTTTTTATGATATACTGATGTAAACGGTTGAATATCAAGTGCGAAAAGATGATAAAATTTAATCACCAAATGTAATTGCCAAATATTAAGAACGAACAAACTAATTATGAATTGGCGTAGATGGATAAATAATTAGCCGAAAAGGATAAACATTTAAGAAGAGCAATGATCTACATGATGTAATATTTATCAGATGATTAACAAAAAACCAATAGAATAATTAGAATCGATCAATTGCGGCTTAGCAATCTTTAACAATAAGAACAATTAGAAAGAATAATTATAAGCCACAAAAGGTAGATCATATAAAATGGAGGGATAGTGGACTAAAGGAACACGCATAACAAAAATACATACATTCATTCTCATGTTTTATTATTTCTTGCGAACATTTGTCTTTCTTTCTTGAAAAATCTTCATTTAATATTTCTTTTATTTCAAAGATTTCTAATTCTTTCGAAAAGTATATCGTTTTACAAATAAGTTTTTATTCACAAAATTTACAATATATCTTAAATTTTACTTCCATAAATAATAATATAAAAAGATAGTATAAAGATGGAACATAAAAGATAACATATTGGAAAGAACATATATAAAAAGATAGCATATTAGAAAGATAGTTCAAAGATAATATGTAAAAAGAACATAAAAGATAGTATATAAATAGAATAGAAAGTAGCATAAAATTTGTATAAATAGAGAGCGGAATTCAAAGTAATTCCACAGTTCTCATCCACAGAACTCAATAAAAATATAAGTTTCATTTAATTATTTGTTCTGTCTCTTATACACATCTAGATGAAGGTAATAAGTTCGCCCTAAACTTTAATTAATGTTTGCTTAATTAATTTTAATTGAATAAAATGAAAATTTTAAGATGAATTAAATATACATTTTTGGAAAGTAATAATTCGTAGCGAGAGCTATCGAAGTTTGAAATTAAAGGTAAAAAGTGGATATAATTTGGGAAAATTTAGAGAAGTTAAATTTTATTTTATATCGTTCGACATTTTATATTACTAACGCTATTTATATCGTGAACCAAGAATGTTGTTGTATGTTGTTTGATTATATCGTTGATTATTTGTTTGTT